TAGTGAGGACCTCAAGAGCATAAAAGAGGACGAGTCACAAATGAAGGATGCACTAACTGAAATAAAGAATAATTTATAGGGAATCAATAGTAGAGTAGGTGAAGCCAAGAAGCAAACCATCGATTTGGAATATAAGGAAGCAAAAAACACCCAATCAGAACAAAGAATCCAAAAAATTAGGATAAAGAGCCTCTGGAACAACTTCAGGTATACCAACATTCGTATCATGGGGGTGCCAGAGGAGAAAGAGCAAGAAATTGAAAATCTATTTGAAAATATATCGACAGACAACTTCCCTAACTTGGTGAAGGTAACAGACATACAAGTCCAGGAAGCACAGAGAGTCCCAAACAAGATAAACCCAAGAGACCCACACCAAGACACATCATCATCAAAATGCAAAGGTTAAAGACAGAGAGAATTTTAAAAGTAGTAAGAAAAAAGCAGTTAGTTACTTATAAAGGAGCTTCCATAAGACTGTCAGCCGATTTCTCAAAAGAAACTTTGCAGGCCAGAAGGGAGTGTGGCAAGAGATATTTAAAGTGATGAAAAGCAATGATCTACAACCAAGATTACTCTATCCTGCAAAGCTATCATTTAGAATCAATTAATATATAAAAACTTTTCCAGATAAGAAAAGGCTTGCCCTGGCCGGTTTTGCTCAGCGGTTAGAGCGTTGGCCTGCAGTCCAGAGAGACCCGGGTTCAGTTCCCGCTAAGGGCACGTACCTCAGTTGCAGTTTGTCCCCAGCCCTGGTTGGGTCGTGCAGGTAGCAATTACTCAATGAGTCCCTTTCACGGTGATGTTTCTCTCTCTCTCTTTCCCTCCCACTCAATCTGAACAAAAAAATATGAAAAAAATGTCCTCAGGTGAGGATAAAAAAAACAAAGGCTAAAGGAGTTCATCACCACCAAACCAATATTGTATGAAATTTTGACGGGTCTTCTTGAAGAAGAACAAAAATATGAACAATAAAATCGCAATAAATACATATCTATCAACAATTGAATCTACAAACAAAATGAACAAGCAGGACAGAAACAGACTCATAGATACAGAGAACTTTTTGTTGGTTGCCAGATGGGATGGGGTTAGGGGGATGGGTTAAAAAGGTGAAGAAACTAAAAAGTACAGATTGGTTGTTAGACTGACAAACCTCAAAGGGAAGGGGGAAACGGGGGCAGGAAGAGAGAAATCAAAGAACTTATATGAATATATGCATAACCAATGGACACAGACAACAGTGTGGGGAAGGCAGGAGCAGGGAGGAGGGAGTCAATGGGGGAAAAAAGGAGGAGACATCTGTAATACATTCAACAATAAAGATAACTTTAAAAAGAAAATAAGCCCAGCTGGTGTGGCTCAGTGGTTGAGTGTCAACCCATGTACCAAGAGGTCGTCGGTTAGATTTCTGATCAGGCCACATGCCCAGGTTGTGGGCCCAATCCCCAGTGGGGGCATACAGGAGGTGGCCAATCAATGTTCTCTCTCATTGATGTTTCTATCTCTCTCTCCCTCTCCCTTTCTCTCTCTCTAAAAATCAATAAAGAAAAAAAATTTTTTAAGAAAATTTAAAATATATATATATACCTCCTTGTATAATTTTTTTTGTTTATTTAATACTAAGTAAAAACTTTTTCAATTGCAGACTCAGAAAAGAGTGCATAGAGGTAAAACCAGATTATGCTCAAAAGAGACAGATACAAAGGTAAAGATAAGTGAAACCATCTGGGTTTGGCCGATTTATGTTTTGGATTAGGATCTAAATAGTGTTTCAGATGAGTCCAGTATATCAATGATAGTTTATGAGGATTGAAATGAAATGAGCTATGTAACATAAAATGTATTCAATATTAGTAGTATGACTAAAAACTTTATTTCTGGCATGATGGCTTGCAAGTTGTTTTTTCTACCTAGAATCCTCTATTACCAGTTTGTTGAAGTTGTCACCTTCTCAGTGGTGGCAGTTGTGAAAATGTGACCATCACTGTGTTAGCAGAAAACTGAGAAAACTTTGGTGAACAGTTGTAACAAAACTCCCTGTTATGGTGGAACATATGTTCTGGTGGAAATGATAGTCATGGGGGAAAAAAGAATTAAGTTAAATTAAAATAAATTAATTAAGTAAAATAAAATTTTATTTCTCTTGTAGTAGGCTGAATAAAGGCCCCTCAAAGATGCCTTTAAATCCCTGGAATTTATGAATCCCCGGACCTTACTTGGCAAAAGGGACTTTGCATATGTGATTAAATGAAGGATCTTGAGATGATTATCCTGGAGTATCCAGGTGAGTCCAATGTAACCATAGGGATTTTATAAGGGAGACAGGAGGGTCAAAGTCAGAAAAGAAGACATGATAATAGAAGCAGGGGACAAACAGAGAGCAAGAGAGAGATTTGAAAATGCGACAGTGCTGGCTTTGAAGATGAAGAAAGAGACCAGAAGTCAAGGTATGCAGGCAGCTTCTAGAAGTTGGCAAAGGTGAAGAAACAGATTCTCCCCTAGAGTCTCCAGAAAGAACCAGGCCTGCTGACATCTGAATTTTAACACAGTGAAACTGAATTTGGACTTCTGACCTCTGGAACTATAAGAAGACATTTTTTTTTTAAGCCAATAAGTTTGTGACAATGCATTACAGCAGGAATAGGCAATAGAGTACTTAATATGAGTTTATTTTTGTCTTATGTGTAAGAAGTCGGTGTCAGACTAGCATGATGCTCTGTAGTGTCAGGGCCCAGGTCCTTCTATCTTTTCACCTAGGTGAGAGAACCTAGAAGAAAATATAAATATCTCCAGGACTCCTGTGTTGGGTATCGACCTGATACCCATGTCAGTGTTTCTTAATTTTGAGTAAAGCATATGGCCCTTTGAAATAAGACATTACCATAATTCACTTAAATACATATAAATATAAAACTAGTTATGTATTGCCCGGCCAGTGTGGCTCAGTGGTTGAGCATCGACCCATGCACCAAGAGGTTGCCAGTTTGATTCCCAGTCAGGGCACATGCCCAGGCTGTGGGCCTGATCCCCAGTGGGGAGCATGCACGAGGCGGCCAATCGATGTTCTCTCTCATCCATGTTTCTATCTCTCTCTCCCTCTCCCTTTCTCTCTCTCTCTAAAATCAATAAGGAAACAAAAATTTTTAACCAGTTATATATTGTTTCTGTTTATAGCATTTTATATATATTTAAAGCCAAAATAAATTTGCAAAATAGATTCAAATAAGACTAGAAAACCAGTTATTGAGACCACACACATCCACAGCCCATGGTGTCCCTGGAAGCCAATGGGAATCCGTGACAAGGCAATCCTGTGCCTGCCAGCCAGGGAGGTCTCATTGGAGGCCTAGTCAGGAGCCCAGCAGGATTGAGGAGCACATCTCCTCGATTGTCAGTTCAGGCAACGGGAAATCTGGGTTTCTAACCCCAACTGATAGTAGATGGTAAAGACCGTGCCCCCCTCCTGTGCCAAGGCAGTGTCAGAGAAGCCTGTTAAAACAGAAGGCTAAAATAAAATCCAGAATTTCATAACATAATGCACCAAGTATCCTGGTTTTGATTGAAAATTACTCTTTACCAAGAAACAGATCTCAAACTGAATGAAAAAGATAATCAACAGACACCAACACCGAGATGTCAGGGATGTTAGGGTTATGTGAGAATAAGTTTAAAGCGGCCGTCATAAAACTGATTCGATGAACAATTACAAGCATGCTTGAAGCAATTTTTTTTTTTGAACAGAAAGTCTCGGCAAGGAAATAGAAAGCCTCAGTAAAGAAATAGAAGATATAAAATGAACCAGATGGACGTTTTAGGCCTGAAAATATAACTAATATTTTAAAACTCCATGGATAGGCTTCAGCAGAATGGATGAGGTAGAGGAAAGAATCAGTGAACTCAACAGAGCAATAGGAGTTACTCAATCCAAACAACAGACAAAACCAAAACAAAACAAAAAACCATGGACAATTCTGTGGGACTATAACAAAAGAGGTACCATTTTTGTCATCAGAGTATCAGGAAAAGGAAAAAAGGGCTAAAAATGTACTCAAAGAAATAATAGTAAAACACTTTCCATATTTGGCAAAATCTATATACCTACAGATCAAGAAGTTAAGCAAACTTCATACAGGAAAAAAGCAAAGAAATCCACACTAAGACACATCACAGTAAAACTTAAAACTAAAGACAAAGAAAAAATTCTTCAAAACAGTTGAAGATCCATGACTCCTTACCTATAGAGAGCAAACAATTCAAGAGACAACAGATTTCTCATCAGAAACCATGCAGGAGGTGGTATCAATATCCTGGTTGTGATGTTGTACTATCGTTTTGTACAATTGCTGCCATTGGGGGAAACTGGGAAATATAAGATCTCTCTGTACTTTTCAAATTACAACTGTATGTGAATCTATAATTAAGTTTAATTAAAATTTTAATTAACAGCTGATAATGACAGTAGCCAACAATTATTGAGTATTTAATGTTAAGTATGGTCTAAACACTTGATCCATTTAACCCTCCCAACAATGATATAGGTACAATTATTAGGTGCATTAGCATCCACTGATGTTGCCCACCAGGTCTAGTAGACATCTAAGTTTTTAGACCCCAGCATACCACATTACCTTGTGCCTGAAAAATGAAAAAGCCATAGAGAGGGAAAAAATATGCCCAGCCGGTGTGGCTCAGTGGTTGAGCATTGACCCATGCACTAAGAGGTCACTGGTTTGATTCCCAGTCAGGGCACATGCCCAGGTTGTGGGCCAAATCCCCAGTGGGGACGTGCAGGAGGCGGCCAATCGATGCTCTCTCATCGATGTTTCTCTCTCTCTCCCTCTCCCTTCTTCTCTCTCTAAAATCAATAAAGAGGCCCAGGCCGGGCACCAGGGGCCATGTTGAGGCGCCGCCTTTCAGCTCCAGCTGCTCCTCCTGATACCGCCGCCACTGGAGGATCACCTACCCTCTGGTGCAGACAAAAGAGCAAGTAGCAATTGGACAGGAAAAGAATGGCATTAAAACAGATTTCCAGCAACAAGTGCTTTGGGGGATTGCAGAAAGTTTTTGAACATGACAGTGTTGAACTGAACTGCAAAATGAAATTTGCTATCTTCTTGCCACCAAAGGCAGAAACTGGAAAATGCCCTGCACTGTATTGGCTGTCTGGTTTGTCTTGCACAGAACGGAATTTTATAACAAAATCTGGTTATCATCAGGCTGCCTCAGAACATGGCCTCAGAACATGGCCTTGTTGTCTTTGCTGTAGACACCAGCCCTCATGGCTACAATATTAAAGAGGAAGATGAGAACTGGGACTTTGGCACTGGTGCTGGGTTTTATGTGGATGCCAGTGAAAATCCTTGGAAAACTAACTACAGAACATACTCTTATGTAACAGAGGAGCTTCCCCAACTCAATAAATGCCAATTTTCCAGTGGACCCCCAAAGGATGTCTCTTTCTGGCCACTCCATGGGAGGCCATGAAGCTCTGATTTGTGCTTTAAAGAATCCTGGAAAATACAAATCTGTGTCAGCATTTGCTCCAATTTGCAATCCTGTGCTTTGCCCTTGGGGCAAAAAAGCCTTTAGTGGATATTTGGGAACAGATCAAAGTAAATGGAAGGCTTATGATGCTACCCATCTTGTGAAGGCCTATCCAGGTTCTCAGCTGGACATACTAATTGATCAAGGAAAAGATGACCAGTTTCTTTCAGATGGACAGTTACTGCCTGATAACTTCATAGCTGCCTGTACAGAAAAGAAAATCCCTGTTGTTTTCAGATTACAAGAGGGTTATGATCATAGCTACTACTTCATTGCAACCTGTATTACTGATCACATCAGACATCATGCAAAATACCTGAATGCTTGAAAAACTTCAGATAAGAGAATCTCTTTAGGATTATAAAAATTATAATAGAATTGCAGGGGAAAAGAATTTCAAAACATTATATTTCATAATACTAAAAGTTATTTGTTCTATAGTTGAATCACCTTCTGAATAAACATGAAAACTGCTTCTGAAATAAATAAATAAATAAATAAATAAATAAATAAATAAATAAATAAATAAAATCAATAAAAAATATTTTTAATAAATTAAAACTATATTAATTTAAACCTAACAAAGAAGAATTATTAGAATTAGTATAAAGTCTGAGTTGTAGAATATTTTATAGTAACTATAATAAAGCAAACACAAATAGGTACAGCTAAAATTGCAGCAGGTTTTTTTATTTTTTTCATAAAATAAATAACTTTTTAAAATAAATAAAAATAAAATAAAATCGTCCTATGGGCCAGTTCTGCTCATACTATTAATTACTTAGCTCATCCCTTTTCCAAACTAACTGCCGTTACTTCTTTCCCTGCCTCACCTGGTTGTAGTAGCTGTCAGTGTCCTTCATAGACCCCGTGGCATTCGCCTTTTCCTTAGATGCACAAGGTCATTTTTGGACAGCTTCTGCCTGAGAGTTTTCGCTTGGCTCTCCTATAGGGAGCAGGCCAGAAATGTCAGAAGAGTTAACATCCCCAGGAAGCTGCCACCAGCCAAGGTGGATGAGGACTACAAGATAAATATACCAGTTTCCTGCCTTAGGGTGGAACCAAAAGAATTCTTAGGTTGAAGCCCTAAACTCCGATACAACCATATTTGGAGATAGGGTATTTAAGGAGGTAATTAAGTTTCAATGAGGTCATATGAGTGGGGCCCTAATCCAATAGGACTGGTGTCTTTATGAGAAGACGAAGAATCACCAGGAGTACGTGGGCAAAGAGAAAAGTCCAGGTGAGGACACAGCAAGGAAGGGGCTATATTCAAACCAAGAAGAGAGGCCTCAAGAAGAACCAGACCATCACCTTGATCTTAGACTTCCAGCCTACAAAACTGTGAGAAGATGTATTTCTGTTGTTTAAGCCACTCAGTCCATGGTATTTTTTTTATGGCAGTCCATCTTCTTTGACAAATAGGGGACAATATCTGATGGACATATGAAATTTTCCACCTTCAGTCATTTGAGCAGACAACTCTGCAAGGCACTTAGTGTGATACTCAGAAGGTTTCAGCCAAATCAAAGCCCTGTTGCCCAAAGCATTGACCTTTATAACATGCTCTCGTATTGGCTTTTCTTCCTTCCTTGCCTCACTCTCTCACTTCTGTGTCTTAGGATCACTAAGTATACTACCTGCATAAAAGTTCTAATGATTCTTTGAGAGGGACCCAAGCTAAAACAGGGCCTGCTCCCAGACTAAACGTAGGATCTGGTTCTAGGAATGGCAGCTACTTGGGTCCCATTTACGTACAACACCCAGGATAGTTGTTGGTGGCTTCTCCAAGTGAACTCAGTGGTACACCAAGCAAAGGTCTTCTTCAGGGAGGCAAATCAATGGGAATGAAGTCAACGTCTATCCAAGGACTAAGTATAGGCCCTTTCCCAAAGTTCCTGAGACAATTGAAGCCTATGATTCTTTGATGATTCTGTGGAAGAAAAGGGCTTGACTAATAACTGAGATTTGATTTGCTGCCAGGTAAATGGGTGAGGGCTCAAAGCAGATGACATTGGGTTTAGAAAAAGAAAGACTATGGTATGTTTTATACCCTGGTGTTATGGACTTGCTAATAATTGCAACTGGTTGTATAAGAGTCTGAGATCAAGGCATGTTCCACGCCATCTACCAGGATCCCCACCCAGAGGTGCTCAGCCAAATTAATTCCGAATTAAGGAGATTTTGTATTACATGTGTTTATAGAATGGAAGAAACATTTTTTCCCTCTTCTGTTCTCTTTTCCCCCAGGAATAATTTAAATAGAGAAGAAATAAAGAATTTATGAAGACCTCCCTTTTCCTGTACTTGTTTTTCTAACATTACATGTTATTTCATAACATTGATAACACAATATGATGACCAAAAACAATCTAGGCTTCTTTAGTTCAGCTCAATTCTTGGCTTCTAAACAATAGTGGGAACAAAGCCCATTAGAAAATTTGGCCTGCCAGACACATTATTGTTAGGGAGTCTGCTGGAATGAATGGCAGCCCTCTTGATCTTTTTCAAGAGGTAAAAATTAACATCTTTCTCTTTCTTAAAAGCATTTTCTGCCCCCTTTGTCAATTTTGAGTTCCTCCATTTTGAAGTTTTCAGGTATGTACTAAAAATTGTCCTCTAAAAGATTTCTTCTTAATTGCCTGAAGATTTTGTGAAATTGGCACCTACTGTATACTTTCACCTTGTACCTAGCTGGGAAACTCACCAAATTGCCGAGTGAATAAATAAATTTCTCTTTGTAGAAGAATAAACTCAATTCTGTTTTCAAAATTGCTTTCATTCTAAAGCTGTTTTTCTACTTTTTATAATTTTCTGCACTGATGACTTTAACAGAAAAAAAATGTCTTCAGTGGAACTCTTGTACCCTATTTAAAAAGAAAGTTCTTGAACATCCTTTCATAATAATGCAACTTGAGTCCTCAGGTGCTGATAGAAACATTCAAAATAACAGCTTAGCATGTTACCAGCTTCTCTCACAGGTCCTAAGTGTAGGCACTTTGATGAAGTGTCAGTAGCAATTTGGTGTAAAACATGACTGCTGCAGGTGCAGATACATTTAGAGAAGAAACAGTGTGGTGCAGAGAAATGTCCTGATGTGATGGACAAAATGTACCTTGTGCTGTATTTAGTATGTAATAGACAAGTTGAGGATTTTCAATAAAAATCAGCAAATATATGGTTTTATTCAATGGTTTTATCCAAAGAATCTAAAGTGCACAGTCACTTTGACATATAAAATAAAATTCAATTGCTATATTTACATATACACAGACTTACCTATATTCATAGATTGTAAAATTCACTCACTTTATTCACTTAAATAAATCTACTTAATCAGGAAACCGAAAGTGCAAAGATCTGTTATTTCCTCCTTCTACCTCATCTGCATTCAGCCAGTCAGCCCCGGCCTCAAGCTCCCAACACAGCCCCCTGCTGTTGGCCATCAGATAATCCTCTGCACTCCCCTGAGCTAGACCTTCTCTAGGAGTTACATACAACTCCCAGCATGCTGTGGGAGTCGAGTACTGGGATGGACAGGAGCTCTTGCAAGTGGTGCCTGTCCAGAGCAGCACTGTTCAGTAGAAATACACGTGTGCCACAAATGCAGACAACACATGTAATTAAAATGTTCCAATAACCACGCTGGAAAAATTAAAATAGGCAAAATTAATGTTAATAATGTCTTATTTAACCCAATTTATCCAAAATAAGATCTTTCAACATAAGATCAACACACAAAATCTTTAGTGAGACATTTTAAATTCTCTTTGTTGTACCAAGATTTCAAAATCAGGTATATAGTTTATAGCATATCTCAGTTTGGATTAGCCACTTTCAGGTATTCAGTAGCCAGCCATATGTGCCTAGTGGCCCCGTAGTGGACAAATGGGTCCAGAGCATACCATGGTCACTCATGCACAGATGGGTAGACAGGGAAATGGCATTCCCTTAAATACCTAGGCATCACACTTTGGGAAACATATTGGAGTTTCTACAGCTTGAGGTCATAATATTAAGGGATCCCTAGTCATCTTATACTGAAGGAGATTCCTTACTCAACCCTAAAATTGCCCATAATCTTTTCAGAGACGTTTCCGAAACCTCCAGACTCAGGATTGATTCTCCTGTTTTAGAATCGATTCTTCAAACTAGAACAGACCCGTGGGGATAATACCTTGGTCTGAATTACTACTCTTTTGGGTCACTACTGAAACTAGACACACTTTTGGACTAGAGGCTAAGGAGCACTTTGTTAAGTAATGGGTTTTATTTGTCTCTCTTTCTCCAGTCAGTTTCTGTGATTTTTATAAGCTAAGCTTTCAAAGTTGTTGATTGTCAATGAGCTGCCTCTAGAGTATTTCTACTTTAATTCTATTTTATTCCAGGCCATGTACATAATCAACATGAGTTGTAAAAAAGACTTTAAAGCATAGAGCCATTTTTTTAAAAAATCATCCTCACAACATGTAAAAATAGCCTACATGTTTCATCTTGAGCAAGGATTGTTTAGTCACACAACTACACTGTCTGAATACACGAGACTGGATGAATATTCAATTCTGTTACCAATGACAGTATAGGTCTGGCCTAAATATGCTTGTTCTATTTTTGTTTTGTTTCTTAGTTTTTCTTAAAGGTATTAATATTTAAACATGAAAAATAATTGGTTTTGAAAGTTTTGGCAGTTGTGGGCTGATGAGTTCATAAAGTAATAGAATTACATACTGTTTTAGAGGGTGAAATGGTTAGAGACCCTCCAGGTAAAACCTCTCATGTTGTAGATGAGGACAATTTTTAAAAATGTAAAAATCTTGATCTGGATTTTAATCCAGATATTTTTCAAAAATCAAAATATGTTAAATAATTTATATTCTTCAGAAATGATCATAATTTTAAATATCTTTGAATTTAACAATTTATTTAATAATTATTTATTGGGAGCCTCCTATGTGCTAAGAAGTCTGGTAGATATGAGAACATAAGGACAAATTATTTCATCACTATATTTATTTCAAATATTATGATACATTATTATAGAAGTTTACATAATTAGCAATGTTTTTAATAAACAACTAATCGTTCAACTAAATATTATTGTTATTTAAAATAGGTAAAGATACTATTTTTCTTATCCTCACCCGAGGACATTTTTCCATTTTTTGTTCAGATAGAGTGCAAGGGAGAGGGAGAGAGAGAAACATCGACATGAAAGGGACACATTGAGTGGTCGCCACCCGCACAACCAACCAGGGCCAGGGACGAATTGCAACTGAGGTACGTGCCCCTAGCAGCAACTGAACCCGGGTCTCTCTGGACCACAGGCAC